CAGCCTGAACTTCCTCCTTCATCACCATTGCCTCTTGATCATATGTTGTTTTTTTAAAGTCTTCTGTGACAGCCAATTCTTTTTGGTACATTGACTCTATACTCCTCCCATCTTCTTTTAATACTTCCTGGATCATTCAGTATTCTGCCCATAGCATCATTAAGTATTACAACTCGAGGCTTGAATTTGTTCTTTAGTTCCTTCAGCTTAAGAAATGCTGAGCAAGTTCAGCCCTTTTGATTTTCATACTCCAGATCTTTGCACATTTCATTATAATACTTTGTTTTGTCTTCCCATGCTGCCCTTTGAAACCTCCTATTCAGCTCCTTAACCTCTTGATTTCTTCCCTTTGCTTTGACTTCTTGGCACTCTTGTGCAGTACTCAGAGACTCTTCTGACATCATCTTGATCTTTTCTTCTGCTTTTGTCTTTGTAATGAATTTTTGCATTCTTCATGGATGATACTCTTGATATCCTCCCACAGCTCATCTGGTCTGCGTTCATTAGTGTTCAAGGCCTCAAATCTGTTCCTGAGTAGATTTTTAAATTCAGGTGGGACAGACTCAAAGTAAAATTTTGATTCCTGTGGATTTGATTTGACCTTCTTTAGCTTTAATTTGATCTTACATATGAGTAGTTGATGGTCTGTTCTGCTTTCAGCACCTGGCCTCGTTTTCCCCACTGATATTGAACTTCTCCAACCTGTGTTCCTTCCACAGGTGTAATCAGTATGATTTGTGTGCATACAATGAGGTAAAACCCATGTGCGTAACCTACATTTATGTTTCTTATAAAAGGTATTTGCTATGAATAAATCATTCATTGTGAAGAATTCTATCATTCTATCCCCAGCCTCATTTCTGTCACCAAGTCCATGTTTTCTGACTACTGATTCTTCTTCCTGATTCCCAACATTTGGTGTAAATTCAAAGCAGGTAATACAAATTAGCTGGCTGAGCTATAGGCTGTATTAGCAGACAATATGAAGATTGATAGGAGAGTACAGACCTCATTTAATAGGCTCAAGAATATTGGAGATGGTAAAGATGGTACAAGACAGGGCAAGATTTCAATCTGTTTTAATGGAGCCACTATGAGTTGTAGTTGATGCAATAGAACCTAACAACAGCAAATTAAAAACAGAAAAATATTTACCTAGTGTGTATTCAGAACATTTATAAGGGTTAATTTGAACCTGAGTTTGCAGTTTGTATCTTAAAAATGAGACAATTCACCATCTCCATATGAATCCAGCTCTCTGTCTTCTCTCCTCCTCATATCAGAAGACTAGGTGTGATTCAGTCATCAATATGAGGGAAGTAGATTCCTGGGACTCAAGAGTGAAGGGAAAATTAGTATTCATTGCCTCTGTAGTTTGCATTGATTACCACAACCTTTTTTCATTCTGTTGTAGAAAATTTGACTCAGCTTACTCTTAAAAAACTCTCTCCAATCTTGCATATTCTGGGATCTGTGGCAAGATGTGTCAGATTTTTTGAGACTCAAGTGAGTCAATGAAACACTTTTTTTTTAATCACTACAACGGATTTTATTTATTTTTTTTAAATATGTTTCAAGCTTCCTCAGAAAATGGTTGTTATTTTTGCTGTTAGGAGCCATGGAGTTGACTGAGTTTACTGACCCTGTGAACACAGATTAAAACCTTGTTGCTCTATTCTGTACTGTCCTCACGATCTCCATGCTTAATTAAGCCCACTGTTGCTATCATTGTGTCATTGTGGAAGGCATACTTCTCTTTTGCTGACCATTTACTTTTCCAAGCATGATGTCTTTTTCCAAGGACTAATCACTCCTGACAGCATGCCCAAAGTGTGGGATGACGTTTCACCATCCTTCCCTCTAAGGAGCACTCTGGTTGCTTTTCCTCTAAGACAGAGTTGTTTGTTCCTTGGGCAGTCTTATGCCCAACATTACGGTTAAAGGCATCATTTCTTCTTTGGTCTTCCTTACTCACTGTCCAACTCGTAGATGCATATAAAGCAATTGAGAACACCAAGGCTTGGGTCAGACACACCTTAGTCTTTAAATAACATCCTTCTGCCGTAGTATTTTAAAGAGAACCTTAACAGCACATTCCTCCAGTGTGGCATGTCTTTTGTTATTTGGACTCTGCTACCATGGGTTTTGATTTTGGATACAAATAATTTAAAACAAAAGTGAACTTATTAGCATATTAATTTGACTCTCAAAATTATTAGCAGTAATTTTGTTTCATATAATTTCATTGTTTATTCTTTGAAGGGCTCTTGAGTGGCCAGACTTCCCCAACAAATACCAAACTGGAGAAATTGGATTCTCAGCAGGTGCTCCAACTCTGCCTCCGATACCAGGATCACTTACATCAGTGTGCAGAGGCCGTGGCTTTTGACCAGAATGCTCTGGTTAAGCGAATCAAAGAGGTAAATCATAATGGGAGGCCAGGGAGGATAATATTGCTGACTCATTATTGTGATTTGCTATGCCTCCTGAGTCTGTTTCCTATGAGTAATATTGCCAGTGAGCCCAGCTTTCGGGAAGTAATCATTTTCTAACAAAGATTTGTTTCCATTCTTTAGTGTAGGTTGTCTTTCCTAGCAGTAAATTGCAATGCTGAAAAGAATGGTCCTCAGAGCTGGATTAAGCTGGTTGTTTAAACCTTGGTTCACTATTTATTTGCTTGGACAAGTTACTTGATTTTTTTTGTTTTGTTTCAGTTTCTTTAACTATAAAATGGGTTGTGACCCAACCCCAAAGGTCGTGGTGATGGTTGTTAAGTGCCATCAAGTCAACTATGACTCAAACCTACCCTATGAACAATGACTCTGAATCTTGCCCTATCCTGAGCCAGCCTCACTGCTCCTGACACAACTGACCCCATTGCCACAGTCATTCATTGTCTTCCTCTTCTGTGCTGACCCTCTGCCCTTCCAGTCATGTCTTTCCAAGGACTGATTCCTCCAGGCAACATGTCCAAAGTATATGGAACAGAGTTTCAAAATCCTTGCCTCCAATGAGAAACCTGGTTTCACTATCTCCAGGACACAACTGCTTGTTCTCTTGGCAGTCCACGGTGCGTTCAGCACTCTTCTCCAGCACTAAAGCTGGATTTTCAGAGGCACTAAATTGCACGGGAGATGATTGCCTGTCCTTTTCTTGCAGAGCAGCTAGTTGATCCAAACCATGTGCCTTTGGGATTACAGCACAGCTTCTTACCACTAGGCCACTAGAGCTCCCTAGAGCATGGTATAACACTGTGTAGTCATCTCGGGACTAAAGTATGCCTGATTCAGACCATCTTCTTCACAATTACTTGCTATATTTCAGAGAGCTGAACAATGACCAAACATGACAGAAGAAGAATTGATGCCTTTGAGTTGTAGTGCTGGAGAAGAGTATTGAACATACCATGGACTTCCAAGAGAACTAACAAGTTTATCTTAGAGAGGGTGAAACAAGGCTGCTCCTTGGAGGCAAGGATATTGAAGCTCCATTTCACATACTTTGGACATGTTGCCAGGAGGACCGGATCCTTGAAAAGGGACATCGGGCTTGGAAGGGTGCTTGGACAGCACAGAAGACCCCAGATGAGTTGGATTGACATAGTAACTATAGTATTAGGGGTAAATGTAACAGAGACAATGAGACTGGCTCAGGATAGAACAGAGTTCAGAGCTATTGTACATAGAGTTGCTATGAGTCATAGGTGACTCGATGGTAAATAACAACAACACTCATCAGTAAGTACCTTTAAGTACTTTTAAGTATTTAAATGTCTCTTTGACCAACCTGCAACTTGGCATAGCTTCCATAGCATCATTCATTCTAAATTGTTCACCATGCACCTCCAGTAGTTGTTTAACAAAATGACCTTGTCCTGGTCATTGACTCAGGTAAGAGCAGAAAATGGAGATGAGGGAGCAAGAACTGAGAATTGCTGCAAATTAATGATGAGTAAATTGTAGAGATTACCATGTATTCATTAGTTATAGTGACAAATTGAAATCTGCTCACCCTGCCAATATTTTAGTACTCAGTCTTCCATAAAATTTTATATGCTTGTATTCTCTCATGAAATAAATACTACTCTTTTATTGTTATGTGCCATCGAGGCACCTGTGACTCATAGCTACCCTGTATACAACAGCCCCAAACCCTGCTCATCCTGTGCCAATCTTACTGTCTCTGACACACCTACCCCCATTACCCCAATCACTGAATCAATCCATCTCATCAAGGTTCTTCCTCTCCTGCACTATCCCTCCACCCTCCCAAGCATGACATCCCTCTTCAAGGACTGGTCCCTCCTTGCAACATGTCCCAAGTATGTTAGTCAAAGCTTCAGAATCCTTGCCTCCCAGGAGCAGCCTGGTCTCACCCTCTCCAGGACAAACCTGTTAGTTCTCCTAGCAGTCCATGGTATATTCAATACTCCAACACCACAGCTCAAAGGCATCAATTCTCCTTCTATCATAACAAGCAAAGACCATGGCCTGTATCAGGCATACCTTAGTCTCCAGACTGACATCTTTGCTCTTCAGTACTTTGGAGAGGTCTCTGACAGCAGACTTTCCCAATGCAATTCATCTTTTCATTTCCTGGCTGCTGGTACCAAGAGTGTTGATTGTGGAGCCAAGCAAACTAAAACTGTTATCAGTCTCGAGCTCTTCACCATCTATCATGATACTTCCAATCAGCCCAGTGGTGGGAATCTTTGTTTTCTTGATGTTGGGCTTCAATCCATATTGGAGGCTGCAGTCCTTGACCTTCTGCAACAAGCGCTTCAGGTCCCTCTCCGTTTCAGCAAGCAGGGTTGTGTCATCTGCATAATGCAGATTGTTGATGAGTCTTCCTACAATCCAGATGCCACATTCCTCCTTATAAAGCCCAGACTCCTGCATATAATCTGTTCCACATATATATTGAAAAAGTGTGGAGATAGGACACATCCCTGGCATACACCCTTCCCAATTTTGAACCATGCAGTGTTTCCTTGCTCTGTTGTTCTGACAACTGCCTCCTGGTCTAAAGTATAGGTTTCACATAAGCACAATCAAGTGTTCTGGGATTCCCATTTTTCTCAGAGTCAGCCACAGTTTATTGTAATCTACACAGTTGAAACACAGATAAACATTCCTCTGGTACTCTCTGCCTTCAACCAAGATCCATGTAACATTAGCTACAATATCCCTAGTATCACGGCTCCTTCTAAACCCTCTTCTAAACTCTTCTATTCTTCAGGCAATTCTCTGGTGATGTGCTGTTTCAGTGGTTTTTGGATGATCTTGAGCAGAATCTTTTTTGCATGTGTTATCAATGATATTGTTCAATTATTTCTATACTCTTGTCAGGTCACCTTTCTTTGAAATGGGAACAAATACAGTTCTCTTCCAGTCAGTTGGCCAGGTGGTTATTCTCCAGACTTCTTGGCACAACTTGGCGAGCACATCCAGGGCAGCTTTGGTTTATTGAAATATTTCATTGGTATGCCATCAGTTCCTGGGGCCTTGTTTTTTGCCAATTCTTTCAGAGCAGCTTGAACTTCTTCCTTCATCACCATAGGCTCTTGTTAATATGTTGTTTCATGAAATTCTTCTGTGTCCACCAATTCCTTTTGGTACAATGACTCTGTATACTCTTTCCATCTCCTTTTTAAATTTTTAAAGTGTTATTCCTGCCTTGGTGTTCCAAAATATGTCAATGACAAAACAGAATTAAACATATGAAATTGAAAGTTGTAGTGCAGGTACAAACAGTGTGATATTGAGTGATTCATTCCCCAAAACTAATATAAAATACAAACCATGATACTTTCACTTAACATACTAGAAGCAGATCATTAACTTCATTAGTTAGAACAGTCATCTCAGAAAGTAACTTAGAAATGTAGTCATTGCATGCAATATTCATCTTCTCCCTAGGTAATTGTACACCACAATTTTATGTCTTTCCATCTCCTTTTAATATTTCCTGGACCATTTAATATTCTGCCCAAAGCATCCTTTAATGTCATAACTCAAGGCTTGAATTTGTTCTTCAGTTCTTTCAGTAATGCTGAGCGAGTTCAGCCCCTTTGATTAGAAAACTATTAAAAATTCGTTTTTAAGTTGCTTGGCATTTATGTAGCCCTTTCACCGATTGTAAACTTATTATATGAATTAATTGCTCATTGCATTTATATGTTAATTTTACACATTAATTACCCTCTACTGAGCTTTAATTACCAAATATGACTGGTCATCAGGCCCTTGGGGTTTTGTTTGTTTGAATACAGGATTCCTTTCTTGCCCAAATATGTATATGGCATGTCCTGTGAATTACTATTTTAATAAGCTGACCAATGGCACTGAGGCTTCTTGCATCAGTTGGAATTTTAAATTCACTACTCAAAAGCATTATTTTCCAAAATAAATTCTGTAAAACTGTTGTTAGGTGCTATGTGGAGTGGATTTTAATTCTTAGTGACCTTGTGTGAAAGAATATAACTATCCCATCTGATTTTCTTGATTGTAATCTTTTATATAACTATACTTGGCTGAAAATGAAGACTTGAAGCACTTACTAATGAAGCTTAAAGACTATAGCCTTTGGTATGTTCTACAGTTCAACATCAATAAAATAAAAATTCTCATAACTGGACCAATACACAATGCATTGATAAACAGATAAAAACTGAAGTTATCCAAGATTTACATGGCCCCACAACAGTGCTCAGGGATGCAACAGTCAAAAAATTGAAAAATATATTGTATTGGGCAAATGTGCTGCAAAGAGCTTCTTTAAAATGCTAAAGAGCAAAGATGTTACTTTGAGAACTAAAGTACACATGACCCAAGATTTCTTCAAATGCATGTGAAAGTTGGACAATAAATAAGAAAGAACAGTTATTGGTATGTTGGTGAAGAATATTGAATGTACCATGTACTGCCAAAGAACAAATAAATATCTCTTTTTAAAAAAGTATGACCAGAATACTCCTTAGAAGCAAATATAGTGAGACTTCAGGCCTGTTATCACAAGGAGACAATCACTGCAGGAAGACATCAGGTTTGATAAAGTAGAGGGTGAGCAAAAAAGAAGTCCATCAGTGAGGTGCATTAACACAGTGCCTGTAGCCGTAGGTTCAAGCACAGTATCATTTGTGAGCCTGGAGCATGACTGAGCATTGCTTTGTTCATGCGTAGAGTTCTATGTTCATACATAGAGTTGCTCTGAGTCAGAACCAATGAGTCCATAGCACCTACCAACAGCCGTCTTTCTCCCTGGAGTGACTTCATGGATTTAAACTTCCAAATTTTAATTTAGTTGAACACTTGACTATTTGCACTACCAGGGATTCTTTATACAAAAGTTGTTATGTACCATCAAGTCAGAACCAACTGATAGCTGACTCTTCAGTTGATCTTTAGAGGTTTAAATCACA